GGCACAAAATCCTGACTATGGCTACAAGGTCCTGCAGGCCCTGGCCAGCTGCTGGCCTCCCTGTCCCTAGCTGGCACAAGCTCATTCTTGACACTCTGCCCTCTTTGACCCTTCAGCCCATGCCCTACCCCAGGCCCCCACACTCGCTCTGCTTCTGCTGGAAGCATGCTTCCTCTCCCAGGTCCTTGCCAGGCTGAGTGCTTCAGATCTTCCTCCGGCCACAGACCAGGACATGCACTAAGTGGATCTGTTTGCACGTGTACACGCGTGTGCGAACTGCATGAGCAAGCTGTGTGCTACACATTGCAGGTTGAGATGGTTTGACTTCATTTTGTTTCCTCTGCTTGAGTGTGCCTCTGCCCCCTCCTGGGCTCAAATGCTGATTCCCTGCTGGCAGCAGCTGCGGGTGCCCAAGCCCACGGCCACGCGCCAGGGAAGGGAAGCAGTGGCTTCTCAGGACATGCTGGGCAAATAAAGGTTTGAAGAGAGACAGGCTCTACCTGGAGTTTCTCCCCCTCATTCCCAAGCCCAATCAATTCTGTCTCTGACAACCAAACAAACAGCCCCAGGCTCTGGGGACCCAACCTAGCGACACCAACACAGCATGATGGGCCAGGCCCTGTTATGAGTCCCCAACTGCTGCCGGCTCAACTTGGGCTGCTGCAAGCCAGACCCGCCTGCCAGTGCCACAAGGCCTGGTGACGGCAGTCACGGTGTCCTCCTGGAAGGCGGGCAGAAGGGGAGAGGATCCTCAATACCAGTCTTTCTCCTGCCCTCTCTGAATGTCTTCGGGGCAGTCAGTCCCCATGCAGGTATAGAGAGGACCATGCTTCTGCCACCCCATTCAATCAGGTACCCTTCAGGGGCATCTGCCTGGGCGGACTTCAGGCCTTTATCCCCTGGCGCTGATGGCAAGTGAATGACTAAATTGGCCAAAAATAAAAACCCCCATAAATCCGATATTTTCCTTTAAGCTGTCAGGTACACAGAGTGTGCTGAGGTTATTGATAGAAAAGTTTATGGATGGGTTGCATCTTAAAATCAAAATACATTACCCAAAATCAATGTTGTTGTACGTAGCACGGGGAGGACAGTAAAGGTCAGTTGAGACAAGAATATTGAAACCAAAACTCCAAGAAGACCTGTGCATTAAAATAAATAAAATTTGAAAGTGAATTCCAGGAAAAACATTCACTTCGGGCTGTAATTTAAGGCTGCTTTCATAAGAGGCTAGGCAGTCCTTTTAAATAACACCTTTGGAAGTGCCTTTGAAAGTCCAGTGAATCCATCCACAAAATGGTATTGACAAGTGCCGCGTACCCCAACTCTCAGCCCAATCATCACCGCAAGGAAAGCACAGGAGTGATGATAAGGCACAGCCAGAGGGCAAGGGGTGGGCCAGGTAATAGGTGGATGGGGCCCTTGCAGCCTGGGTCAAATTCCAGGAGGGTTCTCCTCCAGGACCCTGTCCACGGTATTCCAAGACCTTCCAGAGCCCTAGAAAGAGGGGAAGGGGAATACCTTGGTGCCCAAAGGTGTCTGTGGCACCCACTGATGAGCACTGGGGCTGGGATGCAGCCGTTCTGATAGGCTCGCAGGAGCCCACAGTGGGAAACTGGCAGGGCATCTCGGGGTGCCAAGGGACCCTGGCAATGGTGGCTTTATCCCCAGAGGGAAGTTTCCCTTTGGGGAAGCAACACACATGTTCCATGACAGATGCCTTCTTCGGAGTATCCCACCAAGACGAAGGGTAGCAGTAACTGGCTTCCCTGTGGGGAGGGAGCCAGCCAGGCATTGTCAAGGATGGGCAGGGGCTGCAGCTTCGTGTCGCCCTACTGATCCTCCAACTGGCTAAGCAGAAGAGGCAGCTTCCACTGGGAACCTCAGCAAAGGAGCAGCGAAGTACCCCTTCCCAACACCCCTGCCAGTGCCCCAAGTGGGATATTTACTGAGCCCTAAGTATGGGTCAGACCAGTGGGGAGGTAAAGACACAGAGAAGAAAGGCCCAGCTCTGGCCTCACAGCCTGAGAGGGACACCAGACCCCACAACTGTACAGAGCTGTACACCAGCTGAACACACAGGGAAGAAGCTGCTCAGACCCCAGGCTGCCATCAGGGACTTGCTCTCTACACCAACTGCAGCTAGAGAGGCCCAAGCCCTCTGGACTGTGGAAACATGGGGTGTTTTTGGTTAAGAATTAGAGCCCCAGAGTAAGACAGACCTGAGTTAAAGCCCTGCGTGGCCACTGTGTGACCCTGGGTTAGAGGCTAGGGTCTTTGAACTTTACCAGAGGGTTGAAATCACAATGTCTACCCCACAAGTCTTAAGTTTGAAAACTTAAATAAGCTCTTTCATTCACCCCACAAATATTATTGAACTCCTAGCCTGTGCCAGACCCTGTTTTACATGCTGGAGATACATCAGTAAGCAAAGCAAAGAGTCCCCATCTGAGTAGTGTCTACAGATCACAAAAACACAATAAATACGGGTATTGTACCAGATGTTGGAAGGAGGCTAGCAATTAGAAAGGACAAAAAGTATAGCAGGGTGAGGTTTGGGGACTGCTGAAGGAGTAGGGAATACAGATTGTAGTATTAAAATAGTGGTCCTGGTAGGCCTCATTGAGAAGGGGACTTGTCAACAAAAATCACGAGAACATGACAGAGTTAGCCAACCAGATCTCTGGGGGAGGAGCATCCCAGACAGATGATACAGCTGGTGCAAAGGCCCTGGAGTGGAAGCACACTCAGTGCATTGCATTGTAGGAAGGAGGCCAGTGTGACGAGAGGCATGTGATCAGGGAAAGAACAGAAAACATGAGAGGAGAACAGAGAGGGGTAAAGGGAAACAATAGATGGTTTGACCTTGTCAGCCACTCAAGGCCACTGGGGTTTATCCTGAGTGAAATGGGAACCACTGCAAGGTTCTGAGCAGAGGAAGTGATGTGATTTCTGTTCGAAAAGAATTTCTCAGCTGTCATCTTGAGAACTAACCCAGGGAAAGCATGTAGCCAGTGCCTGCCTGGGACATGAAAAACGTGTGTTAAAGTGCAGCTATTATTCTTAACACCAACTCATGCAACAGACAAGAAACACTTTACCCCACAAAGTGGTAGAGGTTTACAAGGTCCACAAACCTTAAAGGTAGCAGAGCTGTAACTCCCTCTAGCTGCAGGAATTCTCCCCTTGGGCTTCTCGGGTCACGTGATCTAGGCTTGGCGCTGGAGTCAGGACAGGCGATGGGGCTGCCTCTCCAAGAAACCCAGTGCAAGGTGGGCTGGCTTTTACCACCAGACCCCTGCCTGACATCAGTCCCCGAATGAATCGGCTTTCCTAGCATCCCGCCAAGGCTCTGAGTGTGTGCAGCACAGTGCAAGTCTGCCCTCTCCCTTCAGAAGCTGAGGACAGCAATGGGGCCCTGCAGGGTCTTACATTCATCCACCCAGAGCAGTTTCTAAGGGAAGACGGGCGTTCTCAGGAAAAGCCGCTGGCCCGCGGGGGCGAACTGACAGAAGTCATCTAGCCACTGCCTCCTTGGGGCCCCTGGAGAAGAACAGGAGGAAGAGAAGGCCCTAGACAGCCCTGCCTTCCTGACAAGCAGGGCTCAATGGGTGAGCTACAGTGCCCTGAGGGGGTGGGAATGACTTCCAGACTCCATGAGGGAACTGAAACCCAGGCCTGGGAGGGCAAAGGGAGCTGTGCAGGGGGGCCCTATTGGTGAGAACAACTCAGAAAGGGCCTGTCCTTTCATCCCCTCCGAGGCTGTGCCGCCAGCAGCATGGGCTGGGCCAGCTGCTGGGGAAATCTGCCCTCTCTGTTGCTTCTCCCAGCTCTGGGGGAACCTTCTCCTGGTGCCTCTGGGAGGCCGGTGAGCAAGGAAAGCAGACATATGAATGGGGGAGAGAGGTTCCCCTCACCCCAACCTCAGGTCTAGGGGGGTAGGGCCTGGGATAATGAAATCCATGGACTGGGGATCCCCATAGGGAAATGAGGGAACAGACTCAAGGAGAGCTGTGGGACTCGCCCCTAAGACTGCGAGCCCCTTCTGAACCACACGCCTGCTCCGTGTTTCCCTTTGGGGGGCCAGATGGCCCTACTACAGATGACTGGGGAGGGGGGCCGGCTCCGGCGAAGACTGGGACAGGTACAGAGATGGGGGGAGCGGGATCCAGAGGCGGGGGATGGGCTCCGGAACGCGGCAGTGGTCACCGGACCTTTGCTCACGCTGCCTCGTGATCCCCCACCCTTGCACGCGAGCAGCGGAGGCAGCGGCTGGCGAAGAGCGAGTGGGGACTCAAGGTCCAGCGATCGAGGTGCAGGAACTCCACCCCCGCCCGGAAACCTCCCGGGCCTTGAGTCGTGCCGGGCTCTCCCCACCCCACCCCGCCCCACCCGCGCCGCCTCTGCTGTCACTCACGGCCGCTGCTGGCTGGCTCGCTCGTGCGCTCTCCGCGCCACAGGCACCTGCTCGCCGGGCGCTCTGCGCGCACTCCTCGCCCGCACACTGCAGCCTCCCGGCGACGCCGCCGCCACCCGGCCTCGTCCCCGGCCCGGCACCGAGCTCCGCCCTTCTCCCCGGCCCCCGGCGCCCACCCACCCAACATGGCCTGGGCCTGGGACAAAGAGAGGTGCATCTCTTTGCCCAAACCGGGGTAAGGAGTTGCGGGCAGGGGGCTGCGGAGAGGGCCGCGGGACACGCGGGGCGCAGGGGCGCGCGGCCGTCTCGGGCGGTGGAGACCGGGGCGAAGCCGGGGAGAGTTCAGGTGGGAGGACCCCCAGCCAAAGCCGGGGCGGGGCGGGGCTGCGCTCCAGCGGGAGAGACCGCGGGCCCCCCCCCTACCGGGCGACCCCGGCGGGGGAGGGGGGCGCGCTCCGGGGGCGGGGGCGGTGCCGGCGGTGGAAGGGGAGGGGAGGGCGGGGGAATGCAGCGGTGCGGGCGGCTCGGAGCCCAGCCGCTGACCGCCCCCTCCCTCTCCCCTTCCCCGCCACCCTTTCTCCGCGCCTCGCTCCGGCTCGGGGTCCGCCACACCGGACCCTCCGTGCCCGCGCTGCGCCGGGTCCACCGCCAGGTCTGCGCGCCGCGGCTGAGCGCCCACTCGCCCTGCGGAGAGCGCCGCGGAGGGACCGGCGGGGGCGGCGGCGGGAGAGCTCGGGGGGAGCCGGAGGAGGTGGCAGTCGGGAGCCGAACCGGAGGAGCCCGGGAGGCAGCGCGCTCGGCGCCGCGGAGCTCACTCCCTTGCCCGGGGATGGGTCCCTGCGCGGCCCAGCCCCTGCCCGGCCCGCCCGGCCAGGACTGAGCTGAGGCTCCCCGCCGTCCTGTGAACTGCCGGGTACCGCGAGGCGCGGACCGAGCGCCGGCCGCCCCCCGGCGGGACCCAGTCTTCTGCGCACCCCGCGCAGCGCCCCCAGCCGGAGCCGCGCCGGGCAGGCCGGCGAGGGAGCGGGGCTGATTGGCGGCCGCCGGCGGCCGGGGGAGGGGGCGCCGCGCGGGGCCATGGCTGGCTCGGAGGCGTCTTAGCCGGAGCCCCAGCCGGAGCCGAGCCCGAGCCGTCGCCACCAACGCCTCTCCGCGCCCGGGCCCCCGCCGCCGCGCCCCCCGCGGGAGATGGAACAGCGGAACCGGCTCGGCGCCCTCGGATACCTGCCGCCGCTGCTGCTGCACGCCCTGCTGCTCTGCGTGGCCGACGGTGAGCGCGGGAACTTTGCTGCCGCGGGGGCTCGGGGGTGCTCGCCGGGGCCGCCAGAGTCAGCGCGCCCGAGTCGCTGCGGAGGAGCAGGAGTAAGCGCAGGGGAAGGCTCCACCGTCTCCAGGAATCCCGGCGCGCAGCCCGGGCCCGAAGGGTAGGGGGAGAACCGTGGAGGGTCGCCGCCACGGCGGTGCCCGCGCCCGGGGTCATTTGAAGCCGGGCCCGGGTTTCAGCCGAGGATGGGCTTGCGGGGCGCGGGAGTTGGCGCGCCCCAGCCCGGCTCTGTTGGTGCGGCGGGGCGCCGCGGGGAGAAGCGTGAGCCGCCCCTGCTGCCCCACCCGATCCGGAGGGAAGCAGCCAGCAGCCTTAGCCGTCCCTACTGCGGCCTGGCAGCTGCCAGACCGAACTTTGCTAGCGCCCCTCGCCTTGCGCCACGGGGCAGCCTGGGGGTGGGAAGCCCAAGGCCAGCAAAGCCAGGGACTGACCGTCGCGCCTGGGGTTGCCCTAGGCCCCCGCCCCGCAGCTGGTCACGCCTCTCTCTCCCCCGCCCCCAGCTACATTTACCGAAGTCCCCAAAGATGTGACAGTAAGGGAGGGAGACGACATCGAAATGCCCTGCGCGTTCCGGGCGAGCGGAGCCACCTCTTATTCGCTGGAGATTCAGTGGTGGTACCTCAAGGAGCCGCCCCGGGAGCTGCTGCACGAGCTGGCGCTCAGCGTGCCAGGCGCCCGGAGCAAGGTAACCGTTCCCTGATGCAGAGCTGGTGCTCAGGGGCTCAGGCCCTGGCTGCTGGGGTAACCCGGGCAAGGCAGGCTGACCACGCAGGGCGCCGCCCTGTGGCCCAGCCCATCTCCTACCCTCTCCATCCCCCCAGCATCTTCAACAACAGTTCTTACCTGATAATTCATTCCCCTCTCCCAAAACCTCCCAAGCTCCACCTCTGGCCCCTAAAAATGCCACGCCCTATCTAGTTCACCCTTTCCTGCTTGCTGGCTGCAGGCCCAGAGTCTAATGGGTGCTGGGTGATGAAGGGAGACCACTTGGTCTGGCCAAACTTTCCCTGCCCTCTGCCACCCCAGAGCACGGGGCCAAAGAGCTGAGCTCCTGGGGGCGGGGTTCCAGAGGTGGACAGAGCACCTTGTACAGAAAAGCAGGCAGGTCACCTCCAGCCCCCACAGGGTCAAAAAGAAAGCATCCCTCTGGTTGCAGACTGCCACCCACTGTCCATCTGCCTCTTAACCCACACTCTTACACACACTCTCCACACACGCCTACCTGCCTTCGCTCCCCAGGGTCCCACCTAGAGTTACTGCTCACACCTCCCATTGGGTCCTGGCCAGATACACCAGCCCCTACATCCAGCTTTGCACAGGCTTTACACAAACAAGGCATGGAAGGAGAATGTTCTGAGAGAGGAAATGGGTCTTCCTCGCCATCTCATCTGCTGGCAGTCCAGCTCTCCCTCTTTGGCCGCACGTGTGCTAGGGCAGCCCCTCCTGGGCCAGGCACCTTGCTAGCTCCAAACCCTGCTTCCTTCAGGGTAAAACTCCTAAAAATCCTGTTGTTGTTCTTGGTCTCCGCTGCTGCTCTGTCGTCAATAGTTCCGAATCCCAGCCTGCCAGCGAAGGGTCCCCTTGCTGGAGGCAGATCTGAGCTCTGGGAGCCTGAAGGCCAAGAGCCTAATGTTTCTCTCTCCCTCTTTGCATTTTAGGTAACAAATAAGGATGCAACTAAAATCAGCGTAAGTGTGGAGCCCAGCGCGGGCCGCGGGAGACCCCTTCTGGCAGCTTTGAGCCCCACAGCTTCCTCCCTTTTAGAAAGGCTCCTCGGCTGAGCCATGAGGCCCTGAACGCAGCGTTGCGTTGTTGGCTGTTCGGCGTGTCTAGGCGCCCTCTGTCGCCAGTAGCCGGATTGGGTTCTCCTTTGTGTAAATCAAGGGTCCCAGACCCGAGTCTTCTTCCTATGCTCCATGCTCACCTGAAACACTCTGGGTAGGGACGTCGCTTCCCAGCGCCCAGGCCTGCGCTCTGTTGGTATTTCCCCAGGCAACTTGAGCAAGCTGCCCCTCTGCCTGGGGTGCCATCGGTGACCAGGCTTGTGGGGCCAATCCTGCCCACGCACACCGGGTGCCCACTTCCTCCTCCCTACCCCGAGTTTTGGCTGCAGGTGGGAGTGTTGGGTATTACAGGCTGGGGCTGGGGGGCAACGTTCTTGCCTGACTGCCAAGGGCTGGGGTGGTGGAGTTTGTAATTCAGAGAGGACTTTTGCCCAGACTTTCCTAGCTGGAGTACGGACTACTAGGACCTCCTCTGGGCTTGGTTCAGAAGTAAGGGTTGCTAGGGTGCTTGGCCAAGACCCCAAAGCAGTCTCTTCGGTGTCTCCTCCATGGTACAAGGAAGGGGTGCTTGACCAGGAGCTTCCAGCTGTGAATGGAAAAGCAGGTTCTTAGTAGAAAGGCAGGTAATAAGTAGCAGGGGTCAGGGAGCCTGGCAGCAGCCTGAACTAGCTTGCCACCTTGGGAAGGCCGCGGGTTGGTTGTGGGGGACTGAGGCAGCCCATGAACAGGCCTATATGTGTGTACTCTAATGAGGACACCATCCAAGCCCTCCAGGATCTACAACAGAGGAAGAACCTTGGTGCAGTAGCAGCTCTGTACTTCCTCAAGGCTGTGCCCCAGCTGACACGCCTGAGGCGTGTAGTCTGAGCAATGAGAGGTGCAGGAGGGAGGAAGGAGAGAGGTCTGCACCCTGAAGGGAAAGCTGTGAAGATGCCAAGAGTAGGTTTGTGTGGGCCAGAGGATGCAGCCTGAGGCATTCAGTTAAGATGACAGGAAACTGGGGCCAGCGCAATGGGAAAGGAAAGCTGAACTGGGATGATGGGTAAACCTGGATGGAGAGTTTTGGGGGTGCAATGACGGACAGGCATCCCCGTCCCAGCCTCTGACCCAGGCCCACTCTCTTGCAGACGGTCCGGGTCCAGGGCAATGACATCTCCCACCGGCTGCGGCTGTCAGCGGTGCGGAGACAGGACGAGGGCGTGTATGAGTGCCGCGTGTCGGACTACAGCGACGACGACACGCAGGAGCACAAGGCCCAGGCGCTGCTGCGTGTGCTTTCGCGCTTTGCGCCGCCCAACATGCAGGCCGCGGAGGCCGTGTCCCACATTCAGAGCAGCGGCCCGCGTCGCCACGGCCCAGCCAACGCTGCCAACGCCAACAACGTGGGTGCCACCGGCGCTGCGGGCCGTGCCACCTCTGAGCCCGGCCGGGCAGACAAGAGCCCGCCTCCCGGGAGCCCTCCAGCCGCCGTCCCTGGTCCCGGAGTCCCCGAGGCTGCCGCGGCCTCCGTGGCCCACGCAGCCAGCACCACTGTCGCAGCCATGGCCGCTGCTTCATCGGCATCGCCGCCGTCAGGCCAGGCGGTCCTTCTGCGCCAGAGGCACGGCTCAGGTAAGGGCAGACCAGGGGCGTCGGTGCCAGGGCTGCGGAAGGGCCGCCTCCACTGGGGTTATTTGCGGGTGCAGGGTCCTTGCTCCTTAACTGGCGCCCAGGGCATGGCGCATTTTTGGAGCCTGGTTTCAGCGTCTTCTGGTCTTTACTGTTGACCTCTTGTAGCTTTCATGACGTGCATTTATGAATGTGGAGGCGACCTTGCCAGTGTCCTCCAGACATAGCATGGTATACATGGCATGTGGGAAGCCCTCTGGAGTCTGGACCTCTGGCCCCTGGGGCTGTGTCTGAAAGAGATGGGCCTGCTTTTCAGCTACAGTCTTTGGTGCACAGACAGTGGGGTACTAGCATCCATTTGAGTGGCAGGTGGTGGTTAGCACTCAGGAAGTGGACATCTGGGTGTGCTTGCCTACAGTGACTGTTGTCTAAGCCATTGGTGGTCTGGCCGTGTAGCCTCAGCTCTTTCTGTATGTCCAGGATGGTCTTAAGCATGGGCTCTGCTATAAATCACTGCTCTGGTTCTCTTTGTGCCTTTGTGAGGTGTGGGGGTGTGGGATTGAAGGTGGAGCCCTCCCATGCTTAGGAGGGAATCCAGAAGTGAAGGCCTGCTTTCCTAAGTAAATCCTTGCTTTCCTAAGAAGACTGAAGGAGGCAAAAGGGGAATAAGAGAGCAGAGGGTAAGGAAAATGGACTGACAACCAGAGCAGGCAACTCTGGGGTAAGAGGGACTACTTTGAAGTCAAGGGATTTGATGAGGGTAGGTTTGCTGTTCATGTCTATACCCTCTCCCAAGGCACCCCCTCCCACTTCCTTTGCTTACTCAAAGATGGGCCTCTGTGTGTGATTTAAGATGTGTCTCACCCTCTCTGAATCCCTCCCTCAAAGAGCATCTCTGCTGTTCTTGCAGCACTGGGCTCTGGTATAGTTGCATTTAAATCTGCCCAGTGGGATGGAGCACCAAGTCACCCCCTACTGTTATAGTTGTCAAAGAGCCATCCACCTGCCACCAGCTTGTGGGTTTGTCAAGGATGCAGGTTTCTGAGCTTCCTGAGCTATCCTGCTAAGCCCTGGAGACAGGCATTCTGGCCTTCCTTCCTGCCAGGATGCCTTCCACAGCAGTTCGGTTATTTTGTTCATTTCCACTTCTGCAGGGGCCTCCTCCCTGCAGCTTAGGCAGCTGATTGTATATGGAGACCTTCACACAGGGGCCCACAAGATTTCCTCCCAGGTTCTAGGAAAAGGTGGGTCAGCTGGAACCTATGGATGGCCACTTCCCAAACAGCCCCAAAATCCCTTACCTTATTTAGAACCTTCTATCCCCCATATCAGTTTAGGACAACATTAGCTGTTGTGACAAATAAACCCCAAAGACCAATGACTTAACACAATTCCAAGATATTCTTCCCAGTTCACATCAAGCCCTGCAGTGGTGTGTGGTGGCTCTGTTCCATGTAGTCATTCAGATACTCAGGCTGACAGAGACATTAACATCTTCAACACGTGGTCCCAGTGTCACTCTGGACATTGACACATATGCAACAGACAAGGGAAAAAGGAGTGGGAGCAGCCAGTTTCAATCCTGTTTCCTGAGAGAACAGTTCTAACGTTCAAAGGCATATGTTGCATGTGCATTTAGTATGGTCCTAAGTATGTATCTTTCTTAAAAGATTGAAAAATAATCATGCACAACGATTTGGGAGGGCTTGATTCTCTCTGAGAAAAATGTGGTGTTCAGAATGGCCAGACAGGTTTTGAAGGGCCAGACGTAGGAATGGTAAATATCCCCTCCACCCTCAACCTTAGCCAGAACATAGTCCAACAGAGGTGCAAAGCAGGCTGGAAAATGTAGCCTCAGCTTAACAGCTGCTTTCCACCTTCGTCTATTCACCAGCGAAACGGCAGGTGAATCTTTGCAGGAGTTAGCTATTTCTGCCTAGCACACAGTAGGTATGATAGAAAAGTGCTTATTGGCTTGAAGAGTGATTGACTAGTTGATGCTGGTTAGTTAAGAAATGATCCTTCTGCCCTTGCGCCCCTGAGGGCAACGTGCGTCACAGGTCTGGGAAAATGCCATAGCCCATGAGTAGGAGGCCAAGCAGAGGATCTAGAAGCCAGAGCCCAAATACGAGTTGTGTCTCCAGAAGTTGCTGGGCATGTGGCTTTAGGCAAGTGTCTTAACATCTCTCAATGTACTTCTTCATCTGCAAAACAGTAATTAATCCCTGACCTCAGAGGGAGTTCTTTGTGGAAGTTGCTGTATAATGTTCACTATTATCTCCATGGCCAGTAGCTTCTCTGGACAGAGAAGAAAGCGTGAAGGAGGTAAAGATGAGTTATTAGCAGTTGGAGACCAAACTATGGAGGGCCCTGAATGCCAAGGGGAGTCATTAAAAGTTTTGGTCAAGGAAGCACCATGTGAAAGAGATATCTGAGAGGGAACTTGGTAGTGTTCTCAAGAAATGTTAATGAGCAAGGTCACTAGTTCATTCCTGCTTGAATCTGCAGCCCCTGGCCAGAAGCTGACCTTCTCAGCCAACAGAGGCTGATCTGACTATGCTGACACTATCTGTGCTGGCCACAAGAGGGCGCCAGCACAGCATCTGTGTATGGTGGCACTGACAATGCCCTTCTCTCTGGAAATCTCGAACTTTCCCGGTCTGCTCAGTTCTGACAGCAAAGAGCCCAGGGCCTCCTAGCAGGTGGGCCTTAGGCAAACAGCCACAGAGCAACATATTAATGCCCAGATAGCTCAAGGCAGCATCCCAGGTTGGGGGCTCCTCTGTCTTCCCTGGAGTGGGAGGTAGTGTTCATTTCCGTGCAGAAAGCACAGCTTCCAGCAGGGCTGACAGGGCAGTGCCACGAGGATTGGGGTGTGGTGGCCCCTAAGGTCTCTCACCCCAAAACCCTTGCCCAACTCCTGAACAGGCCAGGAACCATGAGACACATCTCAGAAAGAACCCCAAATTTGGGCCTCCCCTGGTGGCGCAGCGGTTGAGCCCTGGGTTGCGAAGCTGCCCGCAGCCTCTGCAGCGCAGGTTCCATCCCTGGCCGGCGAGGGTCCCACATGGCGCGTAGACCTCTCCTGCCGCCCGCTGCTCCCCTCAGCAGTGTACTTCTTCGTCAGTCTGCCTGATCTGCTCCCCGCTCTGGCTCTGGTGAATTCTCTCACCCTCCCACGCTTCTGACTGTACCCAGTGCTTGTATAAATAAATAAATAAATATTTTTTAAAAAAGAACCCCAAATTTCTTTCCAGCTCCCATTTGGAAGGCCAGGAAGGTGGGCCTCCATTGGAAAACCAGAAAGCCCATGTCCTCAGCTCTGCAGGTGAAGCCCCTCAGGGGACCCTCGGCTGTGGAGCCCTCTGTGTCCACTGGACCTGGAGACGTGGGTTAGGTGACCTCTAATCTGCCTCTAAGTGTACCCAAGGAGGGAACTGTGCCTTCTTAATGGACACTTCTCACCCCACCCCCCAAGGCCCTCAGACTGTGGCCTGTCGAAGGGGTGAGCTGCAGACCCTGTTTTGTGGGACAGGTGTTAAGAACATTTCTGAGGGGCTGTGCTGAAGAGCAGTGCCCAGAGTTCTGTCACAGCCCCGGCCGGATGGGGAGCTGGCGGCAGGTAGCACAGACGCAGCCTCCCCAGCTCACAGTTCTCCAAAGCTCAGAGGGAGGGGACAGGAAGGATGTGGTTAACGTGGTTGACAGACAGGTCAGGGTGCTGGCAGAAGCATGGTCGCAAAGCAGGGTCAGTAGAGAATATTTTGAAAGGTGTGAACAGGCTAAGGATAGTCCCAGAGCCAGTGCAGCAGGAACCGCTAGCACCCCTGGCCTAAATGTGCAGGGGGAGGGGGTGGAAGGGGGGAGCAATTAGTAGAATCTGGAGAGGCTGGCTGGCTGGGCAGGAGTCGTGGGCTTGGTAGAGGGATGCAGCCCACCCAGAGGCCTAGCAGGAGACTCGCCTCCTTATGCCCTCCAGTCTTACATCAGAGCTGCCCTTTGGCCAAACCCTCCCAGTCACTAAGGGCAGAGGCTTCTGGGTGATGCAGCCACTGGAGAATCCATGGATTCAGTGGAGAAAAGTTGGCCGGAGGGGGCCGGGGAGCGAGTAACCCACCCTCAGAGGAGGGGAGATGGAGTCCAGGACAAACCCAGAGCTGAGTTTGTAATAAGGAGGTCCTCTCCCAGGCCTGGGTCGAGGGGACACACTGGCCGTTTCAAATTGGCAACTTCAGGGATACTCCCAGCCCGTCTCCCTGACAGCCACCATTAGGAGATTGCATCTGGAAGAAGCTCAGAAGTCCCAGACTGTGCTGTGGTGCTCTGGTTCTTAACAAGCTGTTTTGGTGAATGCCAGAAAAGGGATAGGGGGGGACTCATTCGAATCTTCCTCTAGCTACTACATAGACAGGCCAGAAAGTCCTTCCTATGCCCCATATGTACCCAAAGCAGCCAAATACATATTTGCACTAAAAGTTTATGTGCAAAAACTCATTCATTTCACGTCTCATTTGTCAAGAGACATTTTGATATTTGTGCTTAAAAATAACACGGGCTGGATTAGCACAGCAGAGCCAGCGCAGGAGCGGGGCCCTTCTTAGCCACGCTCAGAAATCTGGCTCCTAATTAATCTGAACACTGACCTATTTTTCATGAACAGTTTGTTGCTGGTTGCAGTTTCTAGAAAAAAAATAAGAGAGAAAACAAAATGGAATATCTTCCAGACAAACGCACCTAACCAGGAAAGGCACCGCAGTGAAGCCAAGAGCAGCCTCAAAAGAGTACAGTTCACAACTGAATGTCTTGTATGTTGGCAAGAGGTTCCCTTCTTCAGGGACCTTGGGCTCAGATCCGTAGTGTGTGAACCTCTAATTAGCCTCGGGGCTCCCGCTCTGAGGAGAGGTGCCCTGGCCCCTACAGAGAGCCGGCTGGATGTGGCAAACTGCTGCCTGATGCCCACACGAAGAACCGACTCTCAACATTTCAATTAATAATGAGAGAAA